GTGGAAAAAAATTTAGGGGTTTGTTTATTGAAATTTAACCTCAAACATTCGCAAAACGGGAAATATAAATGTCCAGAGTAGATCAGGGTTTTCGGAGAGACGACAACAACAGATCGTAAATCGTTTTAGCAAGTTTTCTTTCCCTAAGAATGTCTGCTATCTTAAGCTTAATTTTCATGCATGTTAAAGAATCCGAACTGGTAAAACTGTGGTATGTTACACAATTATCCCTTTATGAAGCTTTTCATTCATTTCATTTCATGTTAGGAAGTTGTTTGGTTCAATAGAAATTAGGCCTAAAGATCGTTGGAAATCTCGAAAATGAAAATCCGTTTTACATCAAGTGCGCTTTATTTGATCCTTTAAACAGACGAAACGATAAGGCCTCAAAATGAAAGGAGTTTAAACAGGTTGCAGTGTAAAATAAATGATCACACCGTCCGTTTTGCTGAATACAAATACAAAGATATCAGATTTAATGTTATACAATACAGCCTAAGCACTGAGGTGACTTGAATCATTGCACGTGTATCAATTCAGCTGGACGGTCTTTGTGAGAAGTGTCATCTTTGATTGATAGCCATCCCTTGCAATGTCTCTTTTATAATGTACTTGCAAACTTATCTACAATAGAAATAAGCTCACCGTCACAATATTAGCACGGTTTTGCTCTCACCTGCTTAGTAATTATCCTTTCCTGTACTGATAGTGCAAACTCAACACCGTGGGTTTCATTTTCCATTTTTTTTCGTCACTGTTACAGAGTCTTTGTTAGTATCGACAATAGCCAGCGGGGCAACTGTTAATTGAATGCTCAAAATGAATAGAGCTTTCCATGTTTGTATATACAGTGTATCTATATAATAGAGTTTTTCTGCACAGCAACCTTACAAATGCAAATGACCCCATTATGACATTAAACATGTAAATTACTCGCCCGTTGGATTATAAGGGCCTGTTACAGACAGCGCATAAAGAAATGTGTGAACAGAAAATCTAGTGTGGCAATTATGAATGAAGTGATGAAGAAACAGCTTAGTGAGCTTGATGAACCATAAAACCATCAGAATGTACATAGCATAAAAAATATACTGCTGAAAACCATTATTTCTATTTTTTAGTCCCTTACTGTTGCACCATGCGCCATAATTTTAGATCAGCTTTTTGAAGGTTTTGACATGAAGTAACAAGACCTTATAATCAAACAGGCAGGTAATTTACATGTCTAATGTCATAATGGGATCATTTGCATTTGTAAGGTTGTTGTACAGAAAAACTCTAATCATTGGTATTTAGGATAAAAGGCACTGTTGATATCTACAAATTTTGTCTCACATATATTTACAATTTGTTGTTCAGTAAAATTTTCAGTGTCCATACCTCCCTCATAGAAGGTTTTTTTGCATTGAACTCCTTGTGCCTATCCCTCATGAGACTCCAGTTCATCTTTATCATCCTATGGTCTTCTATGGCTGGATATGGATATTTCCTGTAATTACCTAATATAATTTACATTTGGCTCAGACATCATACTTTACATGTGCTGAAAAAAAATACCCATTTGAGTCAACTCAAATAATTAAGTCCAACAGATTCAATTCAGATGCAGGGGTTTCATTAAATGTTTTCAGGAGAAGGGCAGCTGGTTTTCACAGGCAGGCAAAACTAATATTAGAACTGAACTTCTTTATGAAAAAACCTTTCTGCTAGATGGCCAGACCAGCCAGGCAAAATCATCCTCACAGCCGGTCCGTCAATTTGCCTGGTACCTGGCCCTTAATCAAACCCCTGCACATGTCGAGCCTAATTATGGTGTCAAACTTAATTGCTTACTCCACACAAAATCTTTGAGGTAAAATATAATAATTATTTATGTATCCACAATGTATGCATTAGATTTGAGACAAGTACAGTAATAGCCCATGTATAAGAACCTGAATTTTTCAATAAAGCCTAAATAGGTTCTTATATAAATGGTCCTTAAAATAAATTTAGGCTACCAAGGTTCTTAAAATAGGTTCTTATATTTTCATATGAATTTCATCTGAATACACTATATATATTATAAATATCATCTCATAATACAGTATAAATCACTTATTTGTACCAAAGAGCAATGCCTATAGGCGGATCAGTGCAGGTACAGTATATGTCCTTAACAAAACATAACAAAGAAACTCATGTTGAGAAGCTGAGGCATTGCCCATTGGGAGCTTACGTTGTTTTGATA